AATAATAATAATAATAATAATAATAATAATAATAATAATAATAATAATAATAATAATAATAATAATAATAATAATAATAATAATAATAATAATAACAATAATAATAGTAGTAGTAGTATTTTGCACATATTTCTTCAGAAATTTAATTGATTTTCATTATTATTACTCATGATTGTTCAAGGTATTTCCAGACTGTATTTGGACCACCAGCCATTTTGTTATATCGCTCATCAGCTCAAGCTCAATTACATACATATTGTAGCTTGGATACCTGGTAGATATATTCAAGATTCAAAATGCCAGTTTCATGGCTATTTGATATGGCTATTCAATTGGCAATTCAATTGGCCATTAAAAATAGCTACTCAGTAGTTCTTGTCATACTAGAATCCTGCAAATCAGATGCACTGGTGATTCAAACACTATCCAAACTCTTCAATGCACAGCAACTCAGTGTGCCAGCGAACTCCAGCATGGTATGTGAAATCACTATCTGGTGAATCGTTATTGCACACAACAAACACCACCATCACTCACCACTACCACCCACCACTAGCAAAAAACAGAATCCAATAAGCACAAAGTAGAAAACACTGGAAATATCGTATTCAATTCGAAATATAGCATATGTCGTATCCCGCTTTACTGCTGTTGACCCTGTTGTGTGATGACCATTGTGTTTGCCCAGATCAACAACCAACAACCAACAACCAACACCACTGACAGCATAAGAGCCTCTGGTCTTTCTGCTGATCTGTGTCGGTGTGTTTATGTGTTGGTGTTGATCAATCACTGATTTGCTGTGTTCACAAAAGTTCAGGCAAATGGGAGCCAATGCCGCCACTTGCAGCGTGCAGATTTGTGTCAGCATCGCGTGCACTTGCATGTAAAGCGTTTTTAAACAAACAAGCCAAAGAAATATTGTGCTATTTGCAGCTATTGAGTGGGTAAATATCTGAATGTATATATTTGTATGAATGTATATATTTGTATGAATGTATATATTTGTATGAATGTATATATTTGTATGAATGTATATATTTGTATGAATGTATGAATGTGTAAATGTGTAAATGTGTAAATGTGTAAATCAAATGTTTGATCACAACTATCTTCAATCTGAAAACTAATGTAACTCGAACAATAAAATCTAAACTATTAATAATTAAGAACTAATAATTAAATGCCAAAATTAATTCAATTTTGCATCATTAGAAAGAAATTTAAATTTTGAGCTCAAATAAATAAATTAAAATAAAATTGAAATAAAAAAATTAAAATAAAAAATTAAAATAAAAAAATAATCAAAATATTAATAAAATAATAAATTTTCAATAAGAATTAAATATATTTTTAAACATTCAAAAACCACAATTATTGTAAAATTGTTGTAAAATTATCGTAATATTATTGTGATATTATCATAATATTATTGTCAGTATTGCTGGATTTGTTATTATTACTATTGCTTTTCATTAGTCCTAAACTAGAATTTTCACTTGCAATGAACATCTCTAATCCACCTAATTCACCTAATTTACTTAACTCACTCCTTATACGACAGCTGTAACAATGCTGCCGCTGCTAGTATTGCAGTTTGGAAGTGGAAGTTCCGCAGTAGGAGCATATGTGGCACCTGAGGTGGTGAGAGAGCAGTATTTGGACGACAATGTGGTGGAAGTGGCACGAAGACATGGTGTGCATGGAACTGTGTAAGTAGATTTGTTAACAACCTTGGTGACTAATGGAACAGGTCTCTTGCCGATCTTGGTGAACCCGTAGATTGGAATTTGCTTGTTGTCCTGGTCAAACACAGCACCCCATTTGGAAAGTCTTTTTGAGCTGATTGGTTTGGTGATCACTTCCGATAATTTGTTTCCAACTTGGTCGTATCCTTCACCCCAGACTTCCCCAGCGTAATCAAGAGCTAATGTGGTGTGCGAAGCTTGGGCACATTGGGTGCATGCAACATACTCAGTAACGGTGGTGGTGCCGCTGGTGTAACATGTGGTGGCAATTGGCACTTGGATATTGTTGGTGATGGTGAATCCGAATATTGGCGTGGCCTTGATGATGTTGAATGTGTTTTGGTTGTAGACATATCCCCAACAGTCTCTGACTAGATCAGTAGCTGGAACATAGCTGGATGGTGGTTGGTAGCCCAAGATGGATTCGAAATTGATATTGGCTGGGTTCAAGAAAACCAAAATGGTACTGAGCTGGGTTGTGCAGCTACCGCTGGAACAGCTCACAAAGTTACCGCCACATCCAAAAAGATCAGAAACAAGACTGACGACAACATCAACAACCCCAGTTAAAACTCCACTTAATCCGCTGTTGCTGCCGTTGCTAACTCCACTGTTAATATTGCCTCCAAGTCCTGAAATAATTCCGTTCAAAGTATTAACAACTCCTTGAACAACGTCAACAACACTGTCCACAACATTTCCAACACTGTCACCTAATCCACTTGTAGTATCGCCAGTGAGTCCCGAAACAACTCCATCTAATGTGTCCACAACAGTGCCAACTGTGTCCACAACGTTGTTCACCACATCTCCGAGATTGTCGCCTAAGCTGCCATCGCCAGCTTCACCAGTGAGCCCTGAAACAACCCCATCTAATGTGTCCACAACACTACCAACAGTGTCCACAACATTGTTTACAAGATCCCCAACATTGTCTCCCAAGCTATTGGTCAATCCGTCACCCAAAACATCTGTCAATCCACTGGTGACCGTATCTCCAGAAAGATCTGTAACAACACCACCAAGAGAGTCAACAACACCTTGCACAACATCGACAACACTGTCAACAACTTCTCCCAAGTTTTCACCTAAACTGTTGTCCAAAACACCAGTCACTCCACCGCTAGCATCACCAGTAACACCATCAAGCACATCGTCGACAGTGTCTCCAACTGTGCCAACAACACCTGTGAGTGTGTCTCCTAAGTTGTCAACAAGATTGCAAAGACCAAGAAGGCATGGTTCAGCATTAGCATTAGCATTAGAATTGGCATTGGCATTGGCATTGGCGTCAGCTTTTCTTTTCTTCACATCAACTGGCCCACCATGGACACTTGCCACTAGTAAAATGGCAATAGCGTATAACTTGGAAAGATGCATTTTGAGGATTTAGCAAAATTCTTTGGTAAAATAGTATAAGTATTCGATACTAGATATTGGATATTGGATATTGGATATTGCTTGTTTGATATTTGTATATTAGCTCAGGCAGATAATAACCAGTTTCTTTTGTTATATTTCTTTTGCTATTAGTCTTATAGAACAAAACAATAAAAAGAATCGAAAACCAGAAATCAAAAACTCAACTCAAACTTCGAGAAATTTGCTTTTTTTATATCTCTAATCTCTATCCATTTTTCACTGTTCCCCCCTACCAATTATTGTTAAATATTCACAATGTTCATAGTATTCACAAAATTCACAACATTCACAACATTCACAACATTCACAACATTTGCAACATTTGCAACTTTACTATTTGATTTGTGTAGCTATTCATCATATACCAATTCATCATATACCGATTTGTCATCTTCCAAGCCCACTGCTTTTTTCAAGACATTTTCAACAACTTGGTTGGTAAAGCTGTCGTAATACATTGATTCTGCAGAACAAACACTCAAAATTCTTGCATAGCTAGCTGGTTTTTGCACAACACATACCATTGACCAACGCTGGTTAGTAGAATTCAATGCGATTTCTCAGTTATTCACTCCACTTTGGGAATAAGTCAAACATGTCGACCATAGCATCCACTTCCAGCAACAACGGCTGCTGTAGTGGATTGAGTAAAATTACTCGAATCATATATTATAACCAGATTGAGGTGTTATTCAAGTAGAGATTAGGAAATTGGAAAATTGGAAAATCAAAATATCAGGAAATCAAAATATTGAGAAATCGGGAAATTGAGGAATAATCGATTAGATGAATAGAGGATTGGTGAATTAGTGAATTGGTGGATTAGAGAAGTAGAGAAATATGGATACTGAAAAATGGAAAAATTAGCCAATGCAAACAGTTCCTCACCAGGGTTACTCACCTGCTCACTGCACATTTTCATTACAAAATATTACTTTAAATTTAAATTTTATTTTTAATTGTGTTTTAATTGTACCTCAGTTTAGATTTCAACTTAGATTTCAACTTAGAGTTAAACCTAGATTTGAATTTAGATTTGTATTGTAATAATATAATGACCTCCAGGTTTCGTACCGATGGTTAAGCTTTTGTTTTTATTCAGAATATAGACACTTTCTAAACATTCTTCCCAGAAATGCTTTTATTATTAGAAACGTTTTTGTTGTTTAATCTTTAATCTTTACTCTTTACTCTTTACTCTTTACTCTTTACTCTTTACTCTTTACTCTTTAGTTTTTAATATTAATTTTTAATTCTAATTTTCATTTTCATTTTCATTTTCATTTTCATTTTTTCACTTTTATTTCTTTTGTTGTAGTACTATTTGAAAAATTTAGTTTGACAATTTCGTAGTGAATCTGACAATTTCACACCACTTTTTTCGCCAGCCTTCTCGGGTTAGAAACGACAAAAAAAAACAATTAGAAGATCAAAAAATATAATAATTGAAAAATCCAAAAATCCAAAAATCCAAAAATCCAAAATTTAAATTAAAAAATTCCAAAGAAATTCTCGCTTGAATCGATGAAAATGGGAAATTAAGTTGCCTATAATATCTATAATACCTATAATATCTATAATACCTATAATATCTATAATACCTATAGTATCAATAGTATCTATAATGCCCATAATGCTCATAATGCCTATGATTGTTGGATCATGATCAAGATCAGATAGAATAGACAAATTTGATATTTTCAGCACATTTTACTAATTCACAGTAAAATTTCCCAGTACAACGAATTTTTTGCCACCAGTGGCAGAATATCTATTGAGTGGACCTGACTTTGGCTGTTGTCTCAAATAAGGCTTTTGTCTTGATTTGGGCCTTTGTTTCGATTTCCAGCATGGCATACATTGTTATCACTGGATGCCAGCTGCCAGTGCTCGATGGTAAGCCCACTGAGAATCCCACTGGAAGCACACTGGAAACACATTAGTTGGCTAGAACGTGTAATCAGCAAAACCCAGGGGCAGTTTCCTATTCATGATGATATTACTTTATCCAGTGCCAGGGTGGGTCAAGCGGTGAGCGAAAGAGCGAGAAAGAGCGAGGGAAAAGGTGCCCCAGGTGGAGGTGGAGGGAGCAAGGAAGAAAGAAAGACTCACGGGTTCCTTTCCACAGGAGAGAAGTGGCCGGCTTTGACGGGTTTTGGCCGCGAGTTCAGAAAACAGCCACTGACAAATCCCGTTTCTGGAGGTTGTCGTTCCAAAACCCTGTGCTATGTCCGCCGGCCAATGACATGCTCTATTTTATTGTTTGTAGGAGCTTGTTCGATGCACTAAGTTTCGAGCGAGCCCAGGCAGTACAACGCGAGCCCAGGCGTTGCAAGTGATCTCCCATAACAGTGCTGTATCAAATCCATCCAGCTCTGAGAGCCCCTGGCAAGAGTTTTGCCAGGCAGTAGCAATAAAGCAATCCATAGTATCCCATGGCAGCCAGAAGTGCAGGCATATTTTTTCATCCCAAATTCACTTGAATACTTCAAAATCTCCGAATTGCCGTGGTCAATCGAGACAGCTGCTGCAAATCGCTGAAACTACTACTAGCGGATGTACTGAGAGACGTCATTTCGTTAGAAGATACCCAGTGGAGGTAATTATGTGAGAGAAACAGAGGAACAGAGAAAAGGAAAAGCAAAAGCAAAAGCAAAAAGAAAAGGAAAAGCAAAAAGAAAAACTAAAAATAAATGAATCTAGGATTCTATGAATCGATGAGTTATGGATGTAGAAATGTAGCGGTTTTTCATTATAAATATTATGATCAAGATAGATAGCAGTCTTTAAAATTGGTCATCAAATTTGTATTGTAATCATGTAGAATGAGTGTCTGTGTATTGCTGTGATTGTTTGTTTGTCAGATACTGCCTCTTGAAAATCAAGTTGATAATATTATCTATCAAAGCTGAGACAACCAAAAATCAGAATCAGTTGGCCATTAGATAACTGAGTGGTTGTAAACAATATGCAAACAATGACACACAATAAAACATAATGAAAAACAATAATAGCAAATAGTGAAATATATTATGTTATAATATAATGTATTAAAAAAGAACTTGAACATACCGAGCTATATTCTTGATGACTAACAGGTTGTCACAACACACTGTAAGTGTATTGGTTATCATCACAAGTACAAGTATCATGATTCTGTAATACAATGATACAATGATACAATGATACAATGATATTCAAATGTACAAACGTTCAAGTTGATTTACGTTTACCAACTTTTAACACTTTTTTGGTTCATATTTTTTTTTACAAATTGAAAGAGGAAATCCCATCTAATCAAAGTAGTTGAAAATGGAAACACTCTAAAATACAACAATGCGGTCAGATTCCAACATATTGTAAGAGTGTTGTGTTAAAAAACACAATTCAATATCTCTGATTTTATAATTTTTGGTTGCCTTGTCACTTTTTCAATTTGCAGTTTTAAAATTAAATTACAAAAAAATTTAAAAGTTATTGATACTCAGTTTTTTATAAGTAAATAATCCTTTTTACTAATAAGTTTGATTTTGAATATTCAGTGTTGTTGCTGTCAAAAACACTTATTAGCAAAGGTATCACATTGAATAAAAGCAACAAGAGACAAAACTAGTAATGGGGTTTTGAGATTGTTAAGTTTATTTTACAGCCATATCTCTTATTTTCAATTTGCTTTCATTTTTTTACTCTTTTTTTAAGCAACCAAAAAAAAAGGCTAGTTGATAATTATTTAAAATAATATCATTTTGTATTGTATGTATTGATTGGCAGAAAAAGAAGTATCAAGGCGTTAGATAAAATCTGACTTCAAGATTTTAGTGTGTTTTATATAATGCTTCAATATATAAAAATCATGGTTGAAACAGAAAAAACAATCTTCTTTTTTATAACAACTGTACAAGCACAGTTAATTCATTTTAGTTTATTTTGGTACGTTTTTCTGATCAGCAAATGCCGTTTATGGTTCACATCTATTGTTCATCTCGGATCAACTCTACGGTGATTAAGTGTCATCTATAAAATAGGGTCTCTGACTTGTCCGCTGTTCAAAGAAAAACCTTACTTCGGCTTAATGCAGTAAAAATTAATTATTTTAAAACCCGACCTTAGAAACTATAAAAACTGATAATTCTGCGGATGAAGTTTCCGTTTTGCTATAGTTTTCCACAATTCATAATCAAACAAGCTCTCGAGTGTAATATTGAATAAATAAATATTAGTCAAATAATTAACAAAAAATAAGTGCTAAAAGTTGGTAAACGTAAATCAACTTGAACGTTTGTACATTTGAATATCATTGTATCATTGTATCATTGTATCATTGTATTACAGAATCATGATACTTGTACTTGTGATGATAACCAATACACTTACAGTGTGTTGTGACAACCTGTTAGTCATCAAGAATATAGCTCGGTATGTTCAAGTTCTTTTTTAATACATTATATTATAACATAATATATTTCACTATTTGCTATTATTGTTTTTCATTATGTTTTATTGTGTGTCATTGTTTGCATATTGTTTACAACCACTCAGTTATCTAATGGCCAACTGATTCTGATTTTTGGTTGTCTCAGCTTTGATAGATAATATTATCAACTTGATTTTCAAGAGGCAGTATCTGACAAACAAACAATCACAGCAATACACAGACACTCATTCTACATGATTACAATACAAATTTGATGACCAATTTTAAAGACTGCTATCTATCTTGATCATAATATTTATAATGAAAAACCGCTACATTTCTACATCCATAACTCATCGATTCATAGAATCCTAGATTCATTTATTTTTAGTTTTTCTTTTTGCTTTTCCTTTTCTTTTTGCTTTTGCTTTTGCTTTTCCTTTTCTCTGTTCCTCTGTTTCTCTCACATAATTACCTCCACTGGGTATCTTCTAACGAAATGACGTCTCTCAGTACATCCGCTAGTAGTAGTTTCAGCGATTTGCAGCAGCTGTCTCGATTGACCACGGCAATTCGGAGATTTTGAAGTATTCAAGTGAATTTGGGATGAAAAAATATGCCTGCACTTCTGGCTGCCATGGGATACTATGGATTGCTTTATTGCTACTGCCTGGCAAAACTCTTGCCAGGGGCTCTCAGAGCTGGATGGATTTGATACAGCACTGTTATGGGAGATCACTTGCAACGCCTGGGCTCGCGTTGTACTGCCTGGGCTCGCTCGAAACTTAGTGCATCGAACAAGCTCCTACAAACAATAAAATAGAGCATGTCATTGGCCGGCGGACATAGCACAGGGTTTTGGAACGACAACCTCCAGAAACGGGATTTGTCAGTGGCTGTTTTCTGAACTCGCGGCCAAAACCCGTCAAAGCCGGCCACTTCTCTCCTGTGGAAAGGAACCCGTGAGTCTTTCTTTCTTCCTTGCTCCCTCCACCTCCACCTGGGGCACCTTTTCCCTCGCTCTTTCTCGCTCTTTCGCTCACCGCTTGACCCACCCTGGCACTGGATAAAGTAATATCATCATGAATAGGAAACTGCCCCTGGGTTTTGCTGATTACACGTTCTAGCCAACTAATGTGTTTCCAGTGTGCTTCCAGTGGGATTCTCAGTGGGCTTACCATCGAGCACTGGCAGCTGGCATCCAGTGATAACAATGTATGCCATGCTGGAAATCGAAACAAAGGCCCAAATCAAGACAAAAGCCTTATTTGAGACAACAGCCAAAGTCAGGTCCACTCAATAGATATTCTGCCACTGGTGGCAAAAAATTCGTTGTACTGGGAAATTTTACTGTGAATTAGTAAAATGTGCTGAAAATATCAAATTTGTCTATTCTATCTGATCTTGATCATGATCCAACAATCATAGGCATTATGAGCATTATGGGCATTATAGATACTATTGATACTATAGGTATTATAGATATTATAGGTATTATAGATATTATAGGTATTATAGATATTATAGGCAACTTAATTTCCCATTTTCATCGATTCAAGCGAGAATTTCTTTGGAATTTTTTAATTTAAATTTTGGATTTTTGGATTTTTGGATTTTTGGATTTTTCAATTATTATATTTTTTGATCTTCTAATTGTTTTTTTTTGTCGTTTCTAACCCGAGAAGGCTGGCGAAAAAA